TAATTAGGGCCTGAACAAAGCTGGATAATGAAGTGGAAATGGATTTGGGGCACATTTATGGGGAACTGATAGTTTTTTGACTTGGAGATGAGGGAGAGGGAAGTGTCGAAGGTGATTCTCAGGTTGGAATTAGGTAAGAACCCGGGTGTCCCCTGACGGTAGGAACCAGGACTTCCCTGCTTCGGATCTCCACAAACAGGCAGCGCTATTGCTGGGCTCATTAATCCAACCGATACCTACTGTACCAGACACTGTGCGAGGGGTGGAACAGCAAACAGGACAGAAAGGAAGTGCCTGCCTCAAGTAGGTTATATTCGAGTGGCAAATACAGAGAAAATAATTAATAAACCAATAAATAAAAATGGATAATACTTATAAGCTGTGGTGTTTTAAAGAAAGCCAACCAGGCAGAGAGGGGCAGAGGTAAGGCCATCAGGACAAGGGAGCTACCCATGCAGAGAAGAGGGGAGCAGTGGGCCAGGCAGAGAAGTCGGCTTGTGCTAGGGCCTCGAGGCAGGAGAGAGATAGACTGGTGTGGTCCGGAAAGACCAGCGACACTCACAGCTGGAGCCTGGTGAGCAATGGAAGAGTGACAAGCATGCAGGGACTTGAAGGCCACTGTCAGAGGTTTGAGTTTCATTCTAAGAGACACCTCTGAAGAGTTTTAATTCAATTTAATCTGTGACATGATCTATTTTAAGAGTTTAAGAAGATCACTCTGGAAGCAGGATATAGGATGCGTTAGAGGGGGGAAGGACAGATCAGGGAGTTAGAAGGATGTTGCCATGGTTAAGGACAGCATGATGGTGACTTGCATCAGGAGAGATAGAGAGAAGTAGGCAGATCTGAGATACATCATGGGGTAGAATTGACTAGCCTCAGTGCTGCATTAGGTGTGGCAGATGAGAGTGAGAGGTCAAGACGACCCCCTGGTTTCTGGGTAGGTGTTGGGGTTGTTGATAGAGATGAAGAAGATTAAAAGGGAGGTGGGGAAAGGGAGGATTTGAGGGGAAAAAAATCTAGATTTCCATTTGGGGGCATGTTAAGTTTGAGATGTCTGAGAAACAGCCAAGTGAAGACCTCTAGGGGAGAATGGTTATGCAAGTCTGAAACTGAGAGAAATGTTCTGAGCTGGAGATATAAACGTGGAAGTCGTTAGCACATACGATGGTATTTAAACCTATGTGAATAGCTCAGATCACTTAGGGATAAAAAGAAGTCCCAAAACCCAATCCTGAGAAATACATAGAGGTCGGATAAGGAAGAAAGACCTAGTGAAGGAGAGATTGGTGAGAAAGAATGGTCCATGAAGTAGGGGAAGTGCAGGAGAGAGTGGTGTCATGGAAGCTGAGAGAGAAAAGTACATTTTCTGGGACAAATGCAACCGGCAGGTGGAGATGAGCACAGAGATGCATCTGCTGAACTTGGTGATAAAGTGGTCTTCGCCACCTTAGTAAGAGCAGTGTCACTGGGGTGCTGGGGAAAGATAATTATTCCTTTTCATTTATTGCTAGAAGCAAGTTATGCTGAGCATCCATCCTAACCTTGAAAGTCACATAAATATGGGAAGGGTTTCCAAGGGAATATCACATCTTGCCACTGCACCAGCTGAGTTTAATTTCCCAGGAGCCCAGGCATGCCCACCTCCTCCCCTGGCCTGCAGCTCTAGCTGCTGGGATGCCAATATCTTTAACTTCAAACAAAGCATTAATTGTACCCCTGGGCCCAAATGATAACCTTTTTTCGAATGCTGCTTGTCTTTGCCTTTTTCTAAACGCAGCGATAGTCAATCTCTCATCCGCCACCACCGGCTCACTTCATTTGACAACTGCATCCACCATGAAGACAGAAATAGGAGGGGATGAAATCCTCATCCTCATAGCACAAATGACCAGGCCTTTTCAAATGACCATGGACAGGAAAAACAGAAAGAAAACAATATATACATCAAACCACTAGATGGAAGTCTTCATTCAACTGCCTGTGCATTCAGAAAAAGTGGAGCAGGATCCGTGCCAGACTGCACAGACCCATCAAATTCATTCAACAGTCATTGAACAGTTGCTTTGTACAAAGACAAATAACAATAATAATAATGGCAACCGTTCATGGCATCCTCACTCTGTGCCAGGCAGTCTACTGAGTGTTTTACATACGTTGGTTCATTTAATTCTCACAACTGCCCTAGGAGGAAGGGTGCATTGTCATCCTCATTTTATGGGTGAGGAAACCAAATCTTAGAGTTACTTACTCTAAGTGACCAGCCCAAGCTGGCGGGTGGAGGAGCTAGGTTCAAGAATCAGAAAACACTGTCACTGTCTACAAAGCGTTTATGCTAACTGTGGTGAGATAGGGAGGATGCGCCACAGCGGTGGGTGTGATCAGACAGGAAGGACCCAAGAAGGGAGGAAGAAAATCACAAAAGGCCCTGCCATGCATGCAGCAGCTCAGGCTAAAAACCTTGGGGCTGTCCCTGAGTCCTTTCCCTCACTCTCCCCACAACTACTCCATCCCCCAGATACGTCACAGACCAGTCTGCTTCTCTACAGCCACATGGTTAGTCAAAGCCACCACCATTAATCAGATGGACTCTCCGGACCACTACAAGAGCCTCCTGGCTGGTCCCTTGGCATCCTCTCCTGCCTCCTATGATCCTCCCTTCCCACAGTAGTCAGGGGGGTCTTCGTAATACACAGATCACACCCGTACCCTGCTCAGAACCTTTCAGTGGCTTCTAGTCACTCTCGCCTCCTTCTCATTGTCTCCAAGGCCTTCCCTTCACGGCCTTTGCCTGCCTTTTTAACCTCATCTCCTGCAGTGCCTGCCAGTTCCCCAACAACCAGGACAGAGCCTGGCATAAGGCAAACAGGGATAATCACATACTCATGCACATAATCATGTGCTGAAGAAATGAGGGCAAGAATGAATGAGTGAATGAATAGAAAAGCCTCCTGGAGGGAGCCACGTTTGAGACGAGCATTAAAGTGGAGAAGGATTTCTCAGGCAGCAAGGCCTGAGGTGTGAGGGGGTAAAACAGTGTTCTCGATGCAGGCAACACCTGAGCAAGGGCACAGAGGACTCCGGCTGCGGGGCGGGAGGCAGCTGGCTAGGCCTGGAGGCAGGTGTGTGTAACATGGTTCTAAGGTTGAATGTGCATTGGAAGCCCCTGGAGCGTCTGTTGAAACAAATTGTTGGGACCCCCTTCCAGAGACTCTGATTTGTACATCTGAAATAGGGTCTCAGAGTTTGCATTTTGCACAAGTTCCTAGGTGACGCTGCTGCTGCTGGCCCCGGCCTGTGCTTTGAGAACGCTGGTATAAAGCAGTCGCCCTCGGCATCCACGGGTTCCGTGTGTGTGGGTTCAATCAACCACAGATCAGAAATATTTTTTAAAAAATGGATGTTTGTGTCTGTACTAAACACATACAGACTTTTTTCCTTGTCATTATTTCCTAAACAATATAGTATTATAAATAACAACTGTTTGTAAGCTTTTACATTGTATTAGGTATTATAAGTAACCTAGAGCTGATTTAAAGTATGTGGACGGATGTGCATATGTTGTATGTAAATACTACACCATTTTATGTAAGGGACTTGAGCATCTGTGGATTTGGTTATCTGCAGGGGTGTCCTGGAGCCAAGGGACAACTCTGTGTGTGTGTATGTGTGTGTGTGTGTGTGTGTGTATGTGTGTGTGTGTGTATAAACGTGGTTTTTCTGTAGGTTTTAATTTGGGGAGGAGGACTGGTACTTTAAAAGAAGATTGCAAACCACTGTTTTAAGCTTTTGTCAGTCCTTTTGTTCTTGACTGTGAACGAGTTGCAGGCACAGGGGTCAGAGACAGGAGTGAGAGCTGGGAGAGACAGTGCTCCCAGGGTGCCCCAGGGCCAGGCTGGGGAAAGATCGGCTTTGCTAGTGGGAAAGTCAGTGAAGTGAAACAAGTCAGACAGCCACACTGCAACCAGGGCAGAGCGCAGTCACTTCCTCCTCCGCAGCTGGGCAGCTGGGATTTGGCTCTACCCAGGTGTTCCCTGGGTTTCCCCACCAAAGCCATCATCCCACCATGTAGCTATATACCATCAAGGAGTTTCTCAGGTTAAGGAGAGAAACCCCCAACCACCACCCATGGGGGATCCTGAGGGGTTCGAGAGCCAAGTTTGAAACACTGCTCTTCAAGGCTCCATGAAACCCCGAACTATTTGCACAAGGTTTATGTTCGCACGTATGTTTTGAGTGTGGACCAAATTCTAGAGCCACGCTGTCTGATACAGTAGCCACTAGCCACGTGCAGCTATTTAAATTTAAATCAAATGTAAATAAAATTAAATTTTGAGTTCCTCAGTCACCTTTGCCACACTAAGTGCTCAGCAGCCACATGTGGCCACCATGTTGGACAGTGCAGATACAGAACATTTCCATCATCACAGGGAGTTCTGCTGGACAGCACGAACCTAGATATTTCATCAGCTTCTCAAAGGCATCCGTGACCAGAAAATGTCAAGCACTGCCAAGAAAGCCAGTGAAACTTCATTTGAAGGAGCCAGAACACTTCCCTGGATACTTGAAAGGTCATCACTATGACTGAGGCAGTGAACAAGTCTGCCTGTGAATAATCTTTGTGCCCCAAATATCCAACTCTAAAAAACTTTTACAAGATATCTAGATTTTATGCCTTATTGTTTATCTCCCTCCACCACCACGTTTTTGGAAATGGACAATTTAATTCTAAAAATATTTGTTATCGAGGCTGAGTATCATGGCCTGCACCTGCAATCCCAGCTACTCAGGAGGCTGAGGCAGGAGGATCGCTTGAGGCCAGGAGTTTGAGACCAGCCTGGGCAACATAGTGAGACCTCATCTTGAAAATATATATATATTTGCCATAAGAAAGGTTCTGTGAGTTCCGCAGAGCCTCTGTGCCCAACAGAAGTTGCAGTGGTAAGTGACCATGACGTTCCCAGTGACCTTGTCTCCTTTGGTATGTGTGACGGCTCTAGGTGGGCGAGGCAGTCTTGGAAAATGCCCGGCTCATGCTGCAGATGGAGACTATCCAGGCGGGTGCGGATGACTTTAAAGAGAGGTAATGCTCTACAGCAGAGGGGACAGTCCCTCCACACGCCTACACTCCTGGGCAATGCAGATAATGCTGTCTTGGAGTCCGCCTCACTCACCTCCAACCTCATGGGGAATCCAGAGCCTTGATCGTCTGGCTCAAACCCCTCCTTGTAGACACAAACGAGGCCCCAAGAGCTCCAAGATTTTTCCCAGGGTCACTTGGTGTAGAGCAGGGATTCTCAAACTCTAGTGTGCAGTCCAGATCACCCCAGGGCCTTACAGAAACAGACTGCTGTGCCTGTGCCCCACCCTCAGAGTTTCTGATTCCATAGGTCTGGAGTGGGGCTCAAAATTTCTACTTCTAACAAGTTCCCACGGATTCTGATCCCGCTAGTCCTAGGACTCTATTTTGAGAAAGACTAGTTTAGAGCAATGGTTCTCAATCCTGCATATTAGAATTACCCGGGCACTTAAAATTGCCAGTGCACAAGCCCTACACACTAATTAAATCAGAGTCCCTTGGGGCCGGCGCTTCAGCAATTTTAAACCTTACTTAGGGGTCTTAATGTGCAGCCAGGCGTTCTCACCTCTGATAGTCCCTCCTCTACATTCCCTACTCAGCCCCTGAAGGCATTTGGGTTTGCAGCCACTGTCCTGGAATTTCACACTGGCTGTTTGGAGGTAGAAACCACATTCCTCATTCTGGGATTCCCAGCCTGGTACTTAGCAGGTTCTCAGTCATGTTTGTTAAAGGATCGTCCTGTGAAAAGGAGGACAATTCAGGATAGCCATGTAGATGCTGGCCTCCCCTGCCTGCATCTGCACTCCTGGAGGAGACTTCCCTAGAGCTCTATGCTTCAAATGCTCCCTGCGGCTGGCACGCCATGAAGCCAGGTTATCAGAGGTTGGCAGCAATCGCTTTCATTTTAATAAATCAACATGTGACAACTGCATTAACAGTGCCCTCAAAGCTATTGGAACAGTGACTTTCACTATTCATTGTCTAACCATCAGATAATTGGCCCATTGGTAACATTTGTAATCTGATTTTTTTCAGTTATGCTGATTAAGATCCTTTATCTGCAGATTTGAAAATGAGCAGCCATTTCGAAAGGCAGCAGAAGAGGAAATTAACTCTCTGTATAAAGTCATTGATGAAGCTACTTTGACAAAAATGGATCTGGAGGGTCAAATAGAAAGTCTGAAAGAAGAGCTTGGCTCTCTGTCGAGGAACTATGAAGAGGTAGGTGGAGGCTAGGGTTGCCAGGTTGGCCACTCACCTGTCACCTGTGCTTCAGAACATGGTGATAGCAGCTCATCTCAGCCTCTCGACGTTGCTTGTCCAGGGCTGCTGGGAAAATGCCTGTAAAATACCTTCCAATCCTGGCAGTGGGTCAGGTCGACCCAGCAGTCTCAAACTCAAATAGCTTCAGGGACCAGTCTGGTACAGGAATTGGGGAAGGCAGCAGGTCTAAGCACTAGCAGGTGGTGGAAGGAGGGAGTGGAGGGAGGAAGCCCTCCTCAAAGCATTCTGTGTCAGATATTATTTTCAACACTGTATAGTACGAACAAAATAACTCTGAGGGTACATCCAAGCTGTGGTTTACACACACTCATTAATGAATTAGCTCAGATCATCGAGTGACAGGACTGAAGGGGACCCTAACAGTTATGGAGTCCAGTTCTCCGCAGGACTGTGTGATTCTAAACCACCCCCCACATATCACTGTCTGATCCAAGATCTAAGCTGCTTCCTGTTGAAAGAGTCAAAACTCACTTAACAATGCTCACTTCAAGAAGTTCTGCCTTGGCCGGGCGTGGTGGCTCACGCCTGTAATCCTGGCATTCTGGGAGGCTGAGGCGGGTGGGTCGCTCAAGGTCAGGAGTTCGAGACCAGCCTGAGCTGGTCTGCTTTGTGTCCAACAAGAAGTTCTGCTTTGTGTTCAACCTTAAGCTAATCAGCAACCATAAGTCTACTTCTTGCTTTTCTTAGCTCAGTCATTTAAGACTATTCTCCAACAGTAACCCTTTAGACACTCCAAAGTTATCTTTAAATCTCTTTCAGCCTAGTCTGGCTTTATGCCTAAATTCATCTTGCTGTCATTGCTTATTTTTTGTTTTTATTTAGTTAGTTATTTATTTCGATTTTTGCTTTGGGCCTGGGCTTGTGGAGAACTTAAAAAATTCATCCTTAGGAAAAGAGAATATGGTCCCTATACTGGGAAGAAGATCGGGGACTTTGCCATTCTCTGTGAAGCCCCATGTTTGGCAGTTGCAGAATGACAAGCAACGAAAATATTGCCCACAGAGCTGGACTTCTGCTGGCTAGAATTCTGTGTCATTTCTTTCTCCCCTGTACTCACCTCAGTTGTATGTTGTCGTTTTCAGGATGTGAAGGTGCTGTACAAACAGTTGGCAGGGTCTGAGCTGGAACAAATGGATGTCCCCATTGGCACTGGTCTGGATGACATCCTTGAGACGATCAGAATTCAGTGGGAGAAAGACGTCGAAAAGAACCGGCTGGAGGCAGGAGCCTTGCTGCAAGCTAAGGTGAGAGGCAGGACAAGCATCCTCCACTCTGCCCTCTGCAGAAGGAGGCCAAGCAAAGATGGAATAGTAAACACACAAGAAGAAATGCAACTGTTTAGTAACAAGTTCAGTCTCACTAGATGCAGAAGAAACACAAATTAAAATAATAGCTTTTATTTACCTGTCTAAAAGCAGAAAATGTTTAAAATGGTATATCAACGCTGGCAAGTATGTGGAGAAGTAGGTTCTGTACTGTGTTATTGAAGAGCAGAAACTAGTACGCAGCATTTGAATAAGGGATTTGGAAATATGAATTGAGAGTATTAAAATGTCTCTGTCTACCAACTGAATAATCTGGACACAATCCTAGTAAAATAATTGAAAATATAAATAGTTTATGTCCAAATATACGCACCAAAACATTATAAATGTGAAAAAAAAACTAGGGGCAAAAACATACAAGTCTTTAATAATAAGAGAAAGACTGTGCTGCAACCTAACTATGCCCTGTACAACAAAATATCAGGCGATTACTAGAAATGATGTTTATGAAGCATTTATAATAACATGGGAAAATGGTCATGATATAAGGTAACATAAGGAGAAAAAGAGAGTACAGAATGGTACATGCCAGGAGCCAACAAATTTTTCTGTAAAGGGCCAGATAATAAACATGTTAGGCTTTGTGGGCCAGATGGTTTTTGTTGCAGCTACTAAACTCTGCAGTGTGACAGTGGCTATAGACAACAGGTAATAAATGAGCATAGTTGTGTTCCAATAAAACTTTATTCACAAAAACAGGAGGTGAGCTGGATTTGGCCCGTGGGCTGCAATTCACCAACCCTTGGAATATATAGCAGGGCAAAGAATTCAAAAAAACCAGGGATCAAGAAAAAATTAGAAAGAAAAGACTAAAATTTCAGCAGAAATGGAATGGTTAGAAAGAAAAAACAAGAAAAGAAAAGACTAACATGTTAATGGTGTTAGTGGTTGCCTTGGAGTGATACACCAATCTGACACTTTGAGATGTTTTGCCTTTTTTGTTTTCGAGTATTTCTCAAGTTTTTCTGAAGTGGTATGAATTATATTCACAGAGGAAAAACCACTTTTATGAACCATCATAGATAATAAAGGAATTAGCCAGAAAGTAGAATGCATAGAGCTTGTTCTTCTCTTCTCCGCCTCTCGCTCATTTATGACTGGAATTTTGCAGCAGAGGGTGACAAGGGAGGAGAAAGGAAAATGTGAAGGAGTGGGGGAAATGAGGTGGATATTTGAGAAAAGGCTGCCTCTGAGCTCTTGTTTGCCATTCGGCACTCGCAATCCTGCAACACAGCAGAATTATTTCAGAGCACTTTCAAAAATGCCCATGCCCAGGCCCCATCTCAGACCAATTTTTTTAAATCAAAAGGAGGCAGGGACTTTGTGATTTTGTAAAGCTCTCTGGGTGATTCCAACATGCAGCCCGTTAGAGAAGCAGAAGAGTTGTAAAAGCTGGGAAAAGGAAAACAGGAGCGCCTCTTCCGTCCTTCCCTCCGCCATGCTCCCTCCAGCCCCTGTGCCCTGATAGCAATGGGAACCTTCCAGCGGGGTCTTCACCGCCATTGGGCCCCCCAAATGTTCTCCAGCCCAGAAAATAGCTCTCATGCCCCTATTTCTCTACCCCCGCCCCCCTTTTAATTGTTTCTTTTCTTTCTAACCATCAATTCCTTGAGCCAGGTCACAACAAACACTTTTTTTTTAATGGCAAATAGTGTCTAGTAACTTAACAAGATGAAGCCCCCAAGCCCCACCCAATCTTCTGAGAGATGGAGCATCATGAGGTAAAGTGAAGCCAGACCATAAACTTGATTTTGGTCCATTGACTCTTTTCTAAGAGGCTCATGAGTGTTGATGGTTAAGAACCCCAGTGACCATCTGGTCCCATTCCCTCACTTTAGAGTTGAAGAAACTGAGACCCAGAGAGCACAGGTGACTTCCTAAGGTCACGTAGCTGGTTGCTGGCTCCATAGTTCAACTCTCCTGGCTCTTTGTCCAGGAGCCTTTTCTCTGCATTGGGCTGCAACGTTTCTCCCCTGGCTCTGCTCCCAAAGCTAAATCCCAGTGGCCAGCAGCTTGCAAACTTGCTCCTGCCCCAACACTCCCGGGGTGTACCCCACACTGCAGGGATTGTTTATTTGGGAAAGGGTGGGCCATTATAGTTATCAGAAATAAATCCTGCATAGTTTGAAAAAGAAAAAAAACCTGATCATTATTATTCACCCCTTACCCCTTTGAGAATTCCCACTAGCCCAACAGTAACTTGAACATTAATTCTGAACAGATTCATTAGTGTTTTTTTAATAGAGTAATCTGAAAGCTACATCTCAGAGAAAACAGACATTATTTGTTTTAGTTTGGTCAATGCTGCCCGGGCCTCTTGCAGAGAGGCAGCGCTCAGAAAATATTTGCAGAATGAGTGAATTCCTCTGATCATCAGCAGAGATCAGGACTGACAGCCAGGATTCCGCCAATAAATAGTTTTGTCAGTTGCAGTTGTGCCCTCGGGGGCTGACATTTGCCCATCCCGAGCATCTCTTGGCGGTTTCTTGGCAGCAAAGCATAAACGTGAAATGGCTTAGTGCACACTGCTTTCAAAAGCTTTTGTAAAGAGATGCAAACATGCATTTAATTACCTTTCAGACCAGGGAGGCTGAAAATTAATTAACATGATTAATTTATGTCTTAGTTTAGGCTCCCCCAGAAGCAGATCCTGAGACAATACTGCAGTGAAGGTAGTTTACTTGGAATTTGGGGCCGGGGAGGAACGAGCAAGATACCAGGAGAGGAGAAGCAGAGAAGGGAACCAACAAAAAAATGCATTATCAAACCAGCCACCACCGTGGGAGGCTGGAGCACAAGCCCAGGGAAATCCTGAGAAATGGTTTAGAATTCAGGAGAGAGGAAAGGAGAGAGCTGGGGTATTAACACCACCTCCCATCAGTCTTCTGCCATCTGCTATCAGAGTGACCTTTCCAAGGCTTCAGAGACACTTTCAGGCAAAAAGATGCAGAATCAGCAGTGAGAAACTGGGGAGCCCTAAAGTGTGAAAGCCTGAGGGAAAAGGTGGTGCCATTGTCATCTGCTACAACGCATCTGCCAGTTCTTTATCTTTTTTTTTTTTTCTTTAAATCTTTAAAAGCTTGTAAAAGGGGTTCTGGCTAGGGTCAGTGCAGTAACCACATTCTCTCCAGCCATGGTGTTATGGGTGTCAGGAACCTCAGTTTCCAGTTTTGGGGGCTTCTGGAGTTGCATGATTCAGTGATTGGGGCATCAGATTGGTCCAGAGAATTTCTGGAGTACCTTAAAGTCTGGCTCTTTCTTGTCTATTTGTTGTGGTTACCCAACTTTGGGCATTTAGGGATGTTTCAGGACCCTCGGACAACGTGCCGTACTACTCTCCAAACCTGTTAGCCATGTAAAATTTTAAAAACCGTTTTTTTTTTAAGCTAGGTGGAGTGGTGCATGCCTATAGTCCCAGCTATTCAAGAGGCTGAAGGAGGCAGGAGGATCATTTGAGCCCAGGAGTTTGAGTCTGCAGTGTGCTATGATTGTCCCTGTGAATAGCCACTGCACCCAAACTGGGCAACACAGCAACACCCATATCAATAAAACACACACATATATACACACTCTTTTTTCCATACTTTCACACACCAAATACTTCCATACTTTCTGACACCAAATGTGTAAGTCTCTTCCACACCCAGCAATTCTCCAAACACCAACTGGGTGTCCTACAATTCAATTCAATGCTCACACTACCTACCTGGCGTTAGCACAGATTCACAGGTTAAGGGTTCAGTCCCACAAGACCACCCTCACTTCAGGTGACAACTGCACATCTGGCCCTACCGTACTTCTGATCAACTGGATAAAAATTGGGGGTCCCCACAACCCCCTCCTCAGATTCAATAATTTGCTAGAGGAGCTCACAGAATTCAGGGAAGCACTTTGCTTATTTTTAATAGGTTATTATAAAGGATACAAGTCAGGAGCAGTCAC